CGTAGATTTTCAGCGTGTTGTAAAAATCCGCCTCTTAGAGAACTTTATAAAAGTAAATATCTTGAATATAGAAAAGTTTACAATCTAAAGCTTGCCGATGGTAAATCTCAGTCTTGGAAAACATTTCTTTCGACCATTGATGTTCGCAATGTATGGAAAAAGATTTACACGTATGGAGTTAAAAGAGATTTCATGAAAAAAATTGAAATAACTGGTATTTGTCTTTCCACTGAAGAGACAACCAACTCTTTAGAAGAGACAATTACTGCTGTGCTTCAGAAATCTTTCCCCTCGGATCTAGAGGAAAATGATGATGATTTGCATAAGGAATACCGTCAAGCTGCGCGTACTGCTTATCTTCTTTGTAGATCCTATGTTTCTTGTGATGAAGTTAATACAGTTATTTCTATGCTGGAACCAAATAAATCACCTGGTCCTGACTCTATTTCGAACGAGATTATTAAACAGTTTCATTTAATGTTTCCTCAATTTCTCCATAAACTTTTTAACGTTTGCTTAAATGTTGGCATTTTCCCAGTTTTGGAAACATGCTCAAGTAATTCTTATTCCTAAAGGAAAATGAGTCTAGGATTCCTTGCCTAGATAACCTTAGGGTATAAGCTTACTTCCTGTTTTGGGTAAGTGCTTGGAAAAACTTTTTATTAACAGAATTTGCTGGTATCTCCGCCATAGAGACCTTCTTTTTGGTAATCAGTATGGTTTTTACACCTCAAAAAAGTTCTGAAGACGCTCTTTTACGCTTGAATGAAATTGTTCAGAGAGGAAAAAAGAAAAACTTGCACACTATTTTGGTCTTTTTGGATATTTAAGGGCGCCTTCGACTATGCGTGGTGGCCTTGTATTCTCAATCTTCTCAAAAAAAGTGGAACTTCCAATGAATATTTTTTCACTTGCTGCTGATTTTTTAAATGATCGGGCGGCCAAATTGCAATTGGGCTCGGCTTCTGCAATTCGTCACCTGAAAGGGGTTGCCCTCAAGGTTCTGTTTCAGGACCTACGTTTTGGAATATTATATTAAGATCTCCTATTAAAACTGGAAAATCTTGCTTGTTGTGATACTATAGCCTTTGCGGATGAGTTTTGTTTTGCTTCCAGAGTAGGGACCTTTCTGCTACTTTTTACAGGCACAAGAGACTTTAAATTTCGCCTCCAACTGGTCAAAAGGTTTTAAATTAGATTTTAATCCTGAAAAAACCAGGGTTATTATTATTGAAAAGCGAACATCTGTTATGATGCATTTCAGTTATCTCTCGATGGCACCCCTTTGACTGTGGTAAAGCAAATGAAATATCTTGGGGTTTTTCTTGACTGTAAATTTCTTGGAAACAACACTTAACTTATGTATCAGAGAAATGTGATAAATTACAGCGTGGATTAAGTCGTATTGCACGCAACACATACGGTATTATTACAACGTTCATTCGCTCATCTAAAACAAGGAATTGCCCCCTTCATTATGTATGGCTCTAGAGTCTGGGGTATATCGCTCAAGAAGAAGATATATTATAGATATTTACGACGTGTTTGTTCAAAGGCGGATACTTCTGCGGGTCATATGTGGATATCGTACCGTAAGCTATGAGTCTGTTTATGCAATTTCTGGCTTTCCTCCAATTGACATTGCCATTCTTCATTCTATTGCTTATAAGGAAAATATTTCTGCTTCTACTGTCTCTCAGTATGATTGTATATTACCTCTATCTGATCTCCCTCATCCTTCAGAAAGAAATGCTGTTAATTTTATTCAGTTTAGCAAGTCGTAGATGATTCGCCTGTAACTTGCTATACTGGTGGCAGCAAAATTGATGGCAAGGTTGGTCTCGCATTTGTTGTCTTCAAAAATGGTCTTGAATTTGAGCACTTTCAATTTAGAATCAGAGATGAATGTACTGTTTTCATAGCTGAACTTTTGTGCTTAAACTTCGCCGTCAAATGGGTCTCTAAACAAAACAGTGCTGTTTCAGACTATCTCATTTGTACTGATTCCCTTTCATCCTTGGAGATCTTAAAATGTATTTCTTCTTCTAATAATATCATTATGAGATTCAAAAAGAACTGAAAAATCTAAAGGATAAAAATATTTCGGTTTCATTTTCATTTGTTCGTGGTCATACAGGTGTTGTTGGGAACGAACGAGCCGATTTCCTTGCTAAGACTGCGACTAAGCAGGAAATGACACTTTTGTCAATATCCCTAATTCCTTCTAAGAAGGTCATGTATAAAGCATTGTGGATCGTGGAATCACGAATTCATTAATTCAAATAAAGGAGTTTTAACTAGAAGATTTTTCCCTTCTATTAAAATGAGATTGTCGTGTCATCATTTCTTCACAAATTATAAATTAACCAGTTCTTACTGGACATGGGAATTTTAAAAAGTTATTTGAACCGATTTAAGTTGAGTCCTGAGTCTGTCTGTGACTGTGTCCTCGGCGGCGAGGAGAATGTAGAACATGTGCTTCTTCTATGTCCTAAATATGAGAACGAAAGAAAAGTCTTGAAACTGGGACTGAAAAAAAATTTTAATATTAACTGGCCTCCAGAGTTTTACCAATTTATTTCCGAGAGAAGTGCTTTTAACACTTTTTGTCAATTCATTGTAAAACTGTGTAATCATCCTTAATTTTATTTCAATTTTCTCTTCTGTTTAGTTTGTATTGTGTTTCTTACTTACTTCTGTAAGCCCCATGTGATACTATGTGGTACATGGGGAACTTGTTGTGTTTCTTTTAATAATAATAATAATAAAAAAAAAGGGGGGGCGTTTTTTAACATTTTGTATGTTACCTTTCTTTATTAAATATCATGTTCCTCGCACTTAAACCATAAGATCCAGTTGCAACAGCAATATCGCAAAATGTTTTAAAACGAGCATATCTTTAGAATTTCCGATACAGAGACTCACGCGCTGGAGATAAAAATGTATTTTCTGCACAACGTTGCCATTGCTCGCTTTGAAATCCTTGAGTTTGTTAATCAAAAAAATTCGTCAAAGTTTTAAAAAATAGGAAATCGATCATAAAACAAATTTCAAATTTCAAATTGGGTCTTCCACATGCTCATATTCGTTGGAGGATTACGTTATTCAAAATTCGATGACTCTATGTACCATTATTTTATGACAATGTGAGAAATATACATACATTTACGCAGATTTTCATTATTTAATTTCTTCAAATATAATGCAGGACTAACATTTTATGGCAACAGTTTGAAAAGTGAACCGACATTTATCCGTCCGACGCAAAATGCCAAAACAAAACTAATAGTCCTTCGGGATTCAAATCCCTTTGGACTAAAAAAAAAAAAAAAAAAAAAGAAAGAAAAAGAAAAAAACTTTAATTAAGAATTTAAAAGAATTTTAAAAAAAACTTTTCTTTCATAAGAAGACCAATTTATGGAATGTTTTAGTATTGTATTCTTTGCACCTTAATGTTAAACCATTTACTAGTTAACTTTAAGGGTGTTCTCTGCTTATAGGTCATTCCTTCGATTCGCCATATTTCTTTTCTCACACTTTCTTAATGGCTAAGCATACTAACAGTAAGTAGATCGAGACAATGAGTTATAACATAATATTAGATCCAGATTTCTGTGTTTTTGTGGCCAAACATTTCCATCACATTTATTTACTTCTATATTTATCATTCTTTCTATTCCCGTTAGTGCGCATTGTTCTTTGGAAACGGAATGATTTTTATTTCTACCATTTCTCGAAACGTTACATCATTCTGCATAGTTGAAAAATTATACTATTTTTTTCACTTCTTATTCATCGTTTTAGGATTAGGTTAAAATTTTAGAGTACGTTTTCTTTTTTAATCCTGTGACAGAGATAGTAAAAGAGTTTGATTACTTTTGCAATATATGTAATGCAGTGTAATGTGAAGTACACTTTATTTCTATATTCTTAAATGTTATTTATCTCCGAGAAAAGAAGGAAATGTTTCTGGTGATTGCGGAATAAGCAGTGAAAATTCGCTAAATTTTCGTGCAATAGGATTTACTTTAACAATTTCGCGAAGCTTTCGAAGTTCAGGATTTATATTAACTTTTCCGGGGGGGGAGTGTTCATTAGAAACGAACAGTAAGGTAAGACTCTAGTATGTAATAATTATATATATTTAGTTATACATATTTTAATTGAATACTATACATATAACTTATTTTATATTATACATATTTTAATTGAATATTATACATATAACATATTTTATATTACATTTATTTTAATTGAAATATGCATTTATAAACCAATGAAATTTTGGCATAAATGTTTCATTAAGTAGCCAATAAAAGGGGAAAAATAGCTTGGCATCGAAACTGCTTATTTGCAATAACAAGGCAATGAAGGGTATTTCGGGAAATGACTTTCTCTCGTAGTCTAGAAATCCAGCAAAATTTAATACAGTTTCAATTTCTGGTTTATATTTTGGAACAGCATTACTCTAAAATGTATTTTTGCTGAAATTCTAGCAGAAAGCAGAGCAAACATTATTTGAATGTGAAACTAACATAGAAGTACCCGTAAGAGTCAAAAAATAATATTCCTAGGTGAAAAAAATCGAACTTTGTATGAAAATCTGATATTCGAGAAACATTAGAAAATCACCTAAAATTCGACGGATATTCCCACAGTAATAATGCTACTACCCTGCTTATTAGATGCATAATTTAAGAATTAAAATTGAACTTTGTATCGCTGCTTCACGCATATTGTGTTATATATAAGAATTTGCTATTACCACGGCAAACTTTGAGACATATTCGCTGTGAATATATTGTACTTCCAAATCTATTTAAATTTTAAAAAAAATATTACAACTATGATGCGCGACTATCTGTTCCACCATCCCACAGAAAAAATAATTAAAAGAGGAATTTGAATCTTGAGAATAAATATTCCAGTTCTGTCACGAAGTGAAATTCGGTTCTACTTTAACAGTATAATCGACTATATTTCAGTGAAAATTCACAAACCTTTGGTGACTATTTCCTTATCTTCTGGATGAGAGAAGTATTTGGGATCAATCACCGGGGGATCATAAGGGTCTGAAGATTTAAGAGTGATTGTTCCTCTTGCCTTTGGATGCAACATCTGAGCGGCACAGCAGTAGAAAGAAGAGTTCTCGTACGGTCCATAGATGGCTTCATAGTACTGAATAAAAAAAATTCGAAAAATAGAAATCCTTCCAAAATATGCAACAGGTATAATAAGAAACATCTTTTATTTATCATAATAATACTGAAAATATTTCTGACATGACCAGCTTTTGGCAAGTAAGCCATCTACCGTCTTGCCCTTCAGTATTTTTGGCTTAAGAACTAGCAGTACATGTATGAGGTAAAGAAAGAGGGCAAAATATTTAAAAATTATATTTCTTCTTTTATTGTGTGTAATAAGTTATCTATCGCTCATTGCTGCTTGGCAACAACATGCATTCAGTAATAACTAATCTCTCACTACTATGATTTCAACTGCAATAATTACAAATGCAAAAATGGATCTATAAATTAGTTTTATTCACTTAGCATTTTACCAATAATAAGGAAAAAGATGGTTAGTTTCTTGGCCAATATCTCACCAGGTAGACTTTCTCTTGCGAAAAACGTTTGCTCTGCATATTTCATCTTCTCCTTACTCCATAATACATCTTGTACTTTCTTTGATGCCTTATTTTGAACAGATGGTCCTGGAACACCACTGATAGCAATTTCATTCTAAAGTCCCGTACTTGGTATTCTGCCTCCATTTTCTGACAGTCCATAGTCAGAAAATAAAGGCAGAATGTGAGTGCAGGAAACTGAAAACCTATTTTTGGATTAAAACATTTATTTTAGAAGCAATAAGATTTACTGCATTAGCACTTCTTTTTGCGAATTTTTCATAAATTTCATCCTTTCCGCCTTCACCTTCTTTGGCAATAGGTTTTAGCATTAAAAACCACATTTCATCAGTTATTACATTAACTAACCATCTTTTTCGACAATATGCAGACTTTGTCTTAGTAGAAAAGTCTGCTCCGCATACTTGTCTTCTCCTTATTCCATAATATATCTCATACTTTCTTTGTGCGTTACTTCCTGAGACACCTCAGATAGCAATTTCATTCTAAATTCCTGCATTTGATATTCTGCCTGCACTTTCTGGCAGTCCAGAATCGGAAACTGCATGCAGAATATCAAATGCAGGAATCTGAAAAACCTGTTCGGTTTATAACATTTACCTGAGAATTGATAAGATTTACTGCTTCAGCACTAGTTTCTGTGAATTTTTGGCTGCTGTCACGAATTTCGTCATCCCCACTTTTCATCTTTTTTATTACTAGGCTCTAAGACTAAAAACCACATTTCATTAGTTATTTTCCACTAACTGATCATGCTTTGTGACAATATGAACTTTTTTACTACTCATTTTACTACATAATTCATAAGCAATACATAAAATGGACACAATGTGAAATGCGTGAGAAATGAGCAATCATCTTATCAATCACCAGGTATATCACCAGATCTTTCAATGCATAGAGTTTAGAAACAGCAACAAGAAATTTTATTCACCCCGAGAAGTCGCCATGGACAAAGTTGTCATTTTCCCCTTTTTTTCTATTTCTGCCAGGCATATATAATACTAAAATAATTTTAAAACATAAAATTCGTCTCAGTTCTGAAATACATTATGAATGTAATGCACATAATTTAGTAACACTCTCTACAACGCCATCAGCTACATTTTTATATGAATGAAACGGGTCACAACATCTAAGAGTGTAAGTCAAAGCTAAATGCTAAGAACATAAGCATTTCTCCCTCATTTTTGCATGCCTTCATGACGTAACGGTCGTACACTCGGTGCGCATTAGATATTAGAGAGGTCCAGGTTCGAGTCCCAGAGAGGGCATTGCTCATTTTTTACGTCTCTAGCATAAAACACCTAACGTCTCTATAACAGCACATATGAATATTCACTAGCTTAATGATGTTTTCAAAAAGAACCAAGCCTGTAAATTGTAATCTAAGAATACATTAAAAATAGCAATACCATGCAATGTAGGATTAAAACCATTAAGTGTAAAGCATCTGTTTAAGTGTTGTCTGTTCATCAGTTATTCTGTATCAAAAAGAGAATTCCTGGTCTATTGTAAACAGATGAGAATTAAGATGATCAGGTGAGTTAAAAGATGGAACCATGCCACAGATCTAGCACAAACATAATCTTGGATAATATGTACCTTGTCCCGAAAACTTCTAAACGTTATAGAGTAATCGTGAAAATTCGGTTACAACATGATTACTGCTCTTCTCATTATTTTATAGAAAACAAAAATCGATCTACATTTCTTGCCGATTCGCAGCTTTTACACTGCAAGACTACCAAATTATGACAAATTTTAGATGTTAATGAGGTGAATGTTGAGATCATAATTTTCTTGTTTATTGAGGGCAAATAATTACCTCTGGTTTGATGTTTTGTTGAGTCTTTGCTGGACCTGTGGCTGCTTCGAAGATGTACAGCTGATAATCAGGATAATCTCCAGGAGCTTTAGGCTCATCCTTGTCCAAGAAAGCTATTGTATTTACACCTTGAGCGGAGGTGAGCGGACCTAAGCAAATTAAGTTAAACCAAATTATTATTCTAAACTGATACACGTAATATATACATCAGGATTTAAATCCTATACGGGTTTTGGTTTAAATTTTAAATATAAACAATTTGTTGTCTTTTTCATACGGGAGCGAAACTTATTGCGTTTTACTTTTAGAATGAGTATACAGTTTGCTTAAATAAGGACTTAAGGATTTGTAGAAAAATTTTTATTACTTATTTTATATTTTTTTTCATTTAAAAATGCCAGAGTATAAACACTGGTATTATTTAATGCATTTTTATAATTCGAGCACTATATTTACCACATGCGAAAATAAAGGCTATGTGAGGAATTTTATGAACATGCTGTATATGACCAAAAAAAAACTTCATTAATAAATTCTAAGGTTTTTTTTATAAACAATTTAAAGCGTAAAACGGGTCTAGTTTATGCAGAAATGAAGGAAAAAAAGGTTGTGTTTATTGATACAATTGTTCATTTCTCAAATTACATGCACATGGCTAATCAACAGTTTTACTAGCAGGTAGATAGATATTCAAACCTCAAACTTGAATAAATTCAGTAATGGATTCCTCTGTCGCTAAATGTTTATTTTTGAAAACGTTTTGTGGGTCCCATTTCTTTGATCGTTGTGGACCAGGAGGTCGTTGAAAGGCGCTACAATAAGCAGTATTTGTAGTAGTAGAAGCAGTAGAAAATTTCAAGATATTTGAGAGCAATCGATCCAGGACGCCTTCTCAAAACATCGTTCTTTTGTAGGGAAATACAACGTTATATACAGCAGCTGACAATTTGACAAATATCCGCTGCAGTATGATTCTCCAACCTGCAATTTCGCCGTGTGATTTTCACAATGTAGCGTGCCTGACCGTAAGTACGAAGCATTTTGCGTCGACATCAAAGGGCAAAATACGTTTTCTTTTCAACTTTACACCCGGCACGAAATATTTTCACGGCAAGGAATTGACTAAGTAGTGTGTTTATGGGAGCAATGTGTCAAACTACCACGGAGAATATATTTAATTATAATCATTTCTAGAATCACAGTGAATAAAGTCTTATTTATCAAGTAACTCATAAGAAATAAACGCTGCAAATGTTCATAAAATTACCACTTATATATATTATAAATTGAATGTATTTTAATCTGAATCAATTATATATACATAACTAACGGGTTTTAAATTCAATCAAAGTCTTCCAAGAAATTTGAATTTTTAAAATTCTCAATAAATTTTTAAATTTTTTTTTTATTTCAAAGCATACAAACTCCCCGTGCACCCCAGATGTAGAACACAGGGCTTACAGAAATAAGTTAACTAAAACATTAAATATTGCACGCATAAATAAAACGAACAAATGCAGAGAACAGCAGTCTGAACATCCCGAAAACAGACTCCGTTCACTGACCAAGTCACTCCGAACATTTTCAAATCGTTCTGCAAGCATAACCTAGAACCATCAAATGTACGGGATGAGAAAATCAAATGTTCCACATACTGAGGTTGGTACTCTTTTTGAACATTCACATAAATTGGTTGATCTTAGATTAAAACGAAACAGGTAACTTGCAAATTGCCGTGACCAGATAAAAACTTAGAAACTTTAAAATTAATAGGGAGAAAAGACTCGGAATGCAGTCTATGGTAAATAGAAAGAAAAAACTTTTTGGTGGCCTCAGCATTACAAGATGAAATATATTCCTCATTCCACTTAGCTAAAAAAGGAACTGAAAGGACTTCCAATAGTTCTTTGGAAGGGTAATGTTGATATCAATGGGTAAATTTAAGGCATCTTTATAGCTAAAAGTCTCAGCTCTTTCATTTCCATAGAAACCGTGATGAGCACGCACATAAGCAAAGAGGATATCAATTCTTCTACACTCATGTCCATAAATTAAGGATAATTAGAAGTCACGCGGAAATCGAACTCTAAAATAAATATATCACCTGTAAAATCACTACACACATCTTCAAGAATCATATGCAAATTTCAGGAAGGAACCAGATGACACCGATGGTACGTCACAATAACGAGAGTGTAAGAGAGTGATATATAAGGAATACAGGCAAAAAAGTAAAATTGTTCACAGGCGCTTTATAAGCATTTCAGTGCAATAACCGAATAGTTATGACACAAAGGACGCATTTGGATGATTTTTTACGTGGTAGAATTATCGGCCGTCTGGAATGTCGACGTACCCAACTGGAAATATCAGACGAACTTGGAATTGCCAGAGTGTCATCTCCAGGCTTTGGCAACGATTCCAAGATGATGGTAATGTGAGTAGACGTTACAGCACAGGTCGCCCCAGAGTTACAACGCCGAATGAGGACCGGTATTTGGCAGTTACTGCCAAAAGAAACAGGCGGAGCACAGCCTCAGACCTGTCTCGTCAGCTCTCTTCAGCCACTGGTACGACAATTTCAAGGCAGACCGTGTACAGACGCTTAGGGCAGATTGATCTATATGCTCGTAGACCTGTCAGATGCGTTCCACTTACTGCAACTCACTGTCGCCTGCGGTTAGCCTGGAGTAGAGAGCATGCATTGTGGACACCGCAACAGTGGGCTTGTGTGATGTTTTCCGACGAGTCCAGGTTTAGCTTGCAGTCTGATTCTCGCCGGACTTTCATATGGAGAGCTCCAGGTACCCGTTACCACCAAGAAAACCATAATTGAACGACACCGTTACGGTGGTGCAGGAGTGCTCGTTTGGGGATGGAATTATTCTGGGTTCCAGAACTGACCTGCATGTTCAAATTGGAAACCATGACAGCCAATCTATCGGGACGTCATTCTGGAACAACATGTACGTTTGTTTCGGGGCGCCATGGGCGCACAATTTGTGTTTATGGATGACAACGCACGTCCTCACCGTGCAAACATCGTAAGCGAATGCCTTCAATTTGGAGGATATCACCCGTATGGACTGGCCAGCATTCTCATCGCACTTGAAGTCCAGTAGAGCACGTACGTATGGGATATTCTTGGCTGACGAATTGCAGCCCGTCAACCACCTCCTACATGTCTACCGGAAATTCGCAGAGCATTGCTTTTTGAGTGGTGTAATATCCCTCAAGATCAGGTCGATAATTTGATACTCAGCATGCCTAGGCGTTGTATGGGCTGTATTGCATCGTCTGGGAGACATACAATGTATTAACAATCATACCAACCATGTAATATTGGTTTTTTGTAAATAGGTTTTTTTTTTTGTAATTTGCTCCAGGGAGAAAAAAATCGCTAATTTTTTTAATAATATCAAACATATAGCATCTTTTTTTGCTCTTTACCTTTTGTTTAATAAATAAGCTTTACAAATAAGTCAAATTTGTTTTGCTTCTAACTCTTCCTTTGCCTGATTTTGCATTATCCTTAATTTATGGACATGAGTGTATTTCTAAGCGAACTGACACTAAACAAGGTTTCAGTAACTAATTTGTCGCAGCTGGTAGTACTGTTCAGAAGGTGAAGAAAATAAAGAGAATCAGAACAAATGAGGTACCTTGAGAATACTGTCCCATTATCCTTGATCCAGTTGACGACAAGATAAATACACAGAAGTTCTGCTTCAAAAACTGTGCATTCATTCCTTAGACGTTGTCTAAAATAACAAACTCGGAATAAACTTCAAAAAAGAACAAATCAAGGCCAATCTTGTTGTTCATCTTACTGCCATCTATAAAAAAACCATATGAAAACTCATTTCAATAGTCTCTTTATAATCGCAGAAATTTATGAGCTCTAAAGTAGCTAGATGAGGGAGATCAGGAAGGGGAACAATTCCATTTATGCAGTCTTCCAAAGTATCTGTTGCCAATGACTCGAAAATATTATTCTTATATTTATTTTCAAAATCTATAGGCGGAACTCCTGTAAGAACAAAAGTAGCCTTATAGCTTAAGGTTCTATAACCACTAATAATACGAAGAAGAATTCTCCGTTGAATCTTTCTCAAATTCCTTTTGTCTTTTCACAAATTCTTTCTTTGCAAAAACATGTGCCCAAGCAGACAGCCGTACGAAATGAAAAGTACAATACACTGCTTGTACATCAGTTTCTTAACATCATAGCTTACTCCAAAAGTATTTTGGGGAATTCATTAATAATTTTTTCACATTTAGCAGAAAGGAATTCAGTGTGCTTTTTCCATGTAAATTTTTGGTCAAGAATGACACCAAGATACTTAACATTTTCTACAAATTCCAACGGAGAATCGTCGAGTATCAAAAGGAGCAATAATTTGTTCATCAGTCTTTCTGAGAGCAATCATAGCTTTACTTTTTGAGGGATTGAAAGTAAGTTTATGAGAAATCGCCCAACTGGAGACAAAATCAAGCACTTCTTGTACTCTCAAATAATGTTATTCAAAGTCTTTCCTTGGAAAATTAAAAGCAAGTCGTCTGCAAATGCAATTTTTAAACAACCTTTGAGATGATTCAAAAGATAATTTATTATTATGTTCCATAGAGCAGGTCAGGATACATAGCCTTGAGGACACCCTTTTCCTAGAGAATAAACCAGCTTCGGTCCCAAGCTGAAGCTCAGCGGTTCTCCCGTTCAAAAAGCTTTTAAGCAGATTATAGGTATTATGTGGTATTACTAGCACCTATTAGAATTTTTAAGATAAATAGCCAAGGATTATTTTGCCTCTTTGAAATCTAGGAAAATAAGAACTGTTGTAAATTTCATTTTCTTTCCACACTGCAAGATATTACAAAGACGAATAATGGCATTTTCAGCACACTCCCGAGGAGAAAACCCGAACTGAAAATCATTATAAAAACATTTCTGTCTCAAGTACCAATTTGTTCGGTTAATGAAGAGAGTTTCAAGACATTTTCCCAAAGCAGACAAAAGACTAATGCATCTAATATTTATAAGATAAGGAGTTCTTGTATCTAAAGTTTTAGGAATTAAAACAACCCGAGCCCTCTTGCATTGCGCTGGAAAAATTCCTTATTGTAAACAAAGATTGAAAAGTCTGTGCATAAAAAGTGCTATCCACTGCGTGAAAGTGCTGTACAATTTCAATTTAAACAGAGTCTAGCCCAGATGATTTGTTCTTGAGATTTTTAATAACACTGTTAACTTCTGAAGTAGAGAACAGACAGTCCATAAATGAAATATAAAATCCCTCAGACTCAGTACGCGTAGCTTTATGATAATTTCTATCATCCCGCACATTATCTCTTGGGAAATTCTTTGTCATTATAGCAACAACTGCATCACTCAAACTCGGAGTAACACTGCCATCCGGAAGTTTAATTCCCGAAATCTCAATCCTTTTCGCAAAACTAGTCTTGACCCCATACTTATATATATATATATATATATATATATTTCCAGACATTATGAACATTAATAGTTGAGGGAAAATTTCTCCACGAGTCAAGCTTTGCATTAGCTAATTTAGCTTTATAATTATGTCGCAACTCAAAATACTTAATTTTATATATATCTTTAAGAACACTGTTTCTTTCTCCTCTGGAGTCTACTCTAGAAGCATTTACATGCTTTCTATAATTTAGAATTTCCTTAGACCATCAAGGAACACCATTCTTCATATTTTTCTTCATCGGAATTAAAAATAACGGTAGGAAGTCTATTTACATCATTTTCTAATGCAATACAATCAGAGGAACTGTTAAGAAGGACATTCAAGTTATACAGTTCTCTCTTACAAAGTTCAGTAAATAAATACCAGGTCGCTCTTTTTAAATTAAAAGTATACAACTTGGAAGATGTAATCGTACGACATAAAACAAGTTCAAGATAATCATTTTACGACCAGAAATAGAATCTTCCTCAGAGATATCTCAACCTTGAATGTATGGCAGCAGTTCCAAGCTACAAAGCGTAAGGTCAATATAACTCGAGCCATGCGTAGAACAGAAAGTAGTTCCTCGAGTTTCATTAACTAGAAACAAATGATTTGCATTAATAAAATTGCCAAGCTTCGTTCCTTTAGCATCAGTAATAAGACTATGAAAAATAACTGATTTGCTATTCGAATCCATATCACATAAAAAAATTGTATGGTTTCTTAATCATTGAAATACGTGAAATTTTTAATAATTCTACGTCAATATTAGTTTGGGGCTCAAAATAAGCGGAGCAAATGGTCAGATCAGATGCATTAATTTTTATATCTAAAACAACAATATTATAAACTGTATGATTTAGGTAGACTAGAAGAGAAACACTCTAATATGACAATTAAAATCGTAAAAACAACCTTGTATTTAGCGTAAGTATAATGAAACACTCAATCGATTTCGAGGGCAGCTAAAGGTCCCTCCTCATCAGGAGAAAGAAATACCTAGAAAGAAGAAAAATGAAGGGGAAGGAGTCTCAGAAACACGTGGTCCTTATCAGCACTGCACGTGGTTATAACCGGAATTTTAATCAGAGTTACACTGGCCGCCTACTTTTACTGAGCCATGCTATCTGATCAAACATGTAACACAGGACAAGAAAATTAGCGAAGTTAAAAATAGGGAGCGAGGGGCAACTGCACCCTCACGCTCAAAATCTGAACTTCGAATAATGGAAAGCAACCGCTGAACGGATTTTGATACCCTCTGGTAGTACCAAACGCGAGGAGGTAACGCCATCTATAGGCAAAAATAGTATAAACTGAATCAAGATAGTAGAATTTTAAAGGCATTAGGAAGGACTGGATTGGACTTAAAATCATTAACTAAACATGCTAAATCTTTGTGAATATGAAAAGACTCAAGAAAATCCAATTCACCTATGGAAGAAGCCTTTTGGATAATTTTTGCAGACCCAAAGTCAAAATTATGGTTAAATGTCCAACTATGATACGCTATTGAAGACTTGTTAATTTCGCCTTTTCTGACATAAGATTCATGTTCCTTGATACGGAACTTCAACGCTCTTTTTGTTTGGCCAATATATCTTAAAGCACAGTGACACGATATACTATAAATTCCCCAAGAATTCAAGACAGAAACGCAATCTTTTAAAATCGAAGGGTGAATTTTATTAGTAGGGGAAAAACCGACTTGAAAATTAAATTTCTAGAGAATCCGTGCAATTTTATAGCTAACAGAAGGATAAAATAGGAAGCACGACAAGGTCATTAATATTATTTCTAACAGTGGAATGTCTTCTTTGATGGGAATCTGAAAATTTTTTAACGGCTTTTTGAGAGCTTTGAGAGCAGTTGTGATTGACCGTGAATTTTCTCCCGTGATTATTGATAAAGCCGTATTGACTGAAAATGATAGTCAAAGCCGTTGTTCCTCGGTATACGTCTGTAGAGACATTAGGTATTTTGGAAGCAGGCAAGAGGAAAAGTTAACAACTCCTTCGCCGGGAATCGAACCGGTGACCTCTGGAATACCGGCCCAGTATGCAGACCACCACACCACGAAAGTGGGAGAAATACCTTATAAGGCAATAAAGTATACTTAGACAGTTTATAAAAACGAAATAAAACGGAAAGAAGGCGTCAAATCTGATGATTAACTCATAGGTCATCACCTACAGTCAACGTCTTACTCACCGACGGTTTACATTATTGCAACGGTTTCACGGCCTCTAATGTGAAGCGATGCAATATATTTAGATTGATTATTAAAATTAAATTAAATTGCAGAACATTAGCGACCATAAAGGCCGTTGGCCACCGATTCCCTAACAAATGACTATCGCCAGTTTGGATACTACAATGTTTTCGTACAGTGCCAAGGCAGGGATGATAAATGCATAATAGCGTAACATTACATAACATACACCTCACAAATTTCGGAAAGTACTAAGAACATTTCTAGCATCAAAAATAAAATAATCACAAAATATAAAAAAGTGCATTTTATTGCATTTCAGGTGCTCAGTTTGTTAAGCAATTATAGTCATAATTTGAAAGCAAATTAAAAAACCTTATGCTGCATGAAATAGCATCACAGTGAGGGATAACGATTTGTCAGGCCGCGTGAGTGATAACTACTGTGGTATGATAAAGTAGCATAACATAATGGACCCACAAAATTAGAGTAAGGTATACCCGTTTCTAATGCCTAAAAAACCTTTAATAGCATGCTTAATGTCTGGTGTCTTTATTACAATTATTAAATAACCACTCACCTGTTTTTGAAACTATATAGTCCCAAATGCTTGACTGGTCTTTTTGCTTCTCCTCAAATGGTTTATCACTCATTTCATACGGTAACACCGCAAGGCAGTGATCTTGTAAATTACGACCGACTGGTAAATCCGCCACTAGTGGTATCTGAAACAATTTCTGAATGGTAAAAATTTGTAGCTTGAATAATTTAATTCAATTAAACATTAAAGCTTAATATTAAAATCTTTTCTATTTTCGAATACTGTTCCCGTGGGAGAAAGAAAAAAGAAATAAAAGTGCGTAAAACAGCTTTTTTTTTTTTTTTTTTTTGTGGTTGATTCTTTAGTTTGGTTTGGTTTAGTTGATTATGACAAAGCTCATGAGCTATCTATCTAAGGGAAGGGAGGACTTCGTGGAAGAATTTCTAAGGGAAAGTGGCTCGTATACACCTCGGTTTTTCGAGCCAGGATAAATGAAAACTTAACTATTATCTTCTTGGGATTCATATCTTAAATGCTCCATGGCTAGCTGCTACCTACTAGAATAAATTAGAATTTCAATAATAGTAACACAGATAAATAACTGACTTGCAGAACTTTGTAATGTAAGCAATACAGTGCGAAGAACATAGTCAAGAGGTAAGAGAATTTAGGCAAGCATTGTGACATAAAGGGGAAAAAGAGTAATAGTCTTAGCGAGAAGAAGTGCCGTTATATTGTGAACTCAGTGCATACATACATACGTAATGCATCTGAGGAACGTAACGTGTAACATACATACGTAATGTAGCCAGGAAAGAATTCATAAAAACATTCATCAACGTAGATTTGTTTTTAGTTAAAGCTCTTTCAGCAACTTCATCTTTTGCTAAAATAAAATTTGGCGAGTCGTTCTTTCCCAACTTGTTTACTGTTTAAATTACTATAATATAAAGAGCGGTTTACAAACTGACATATCAGAAAAAGGTTTATAAATTTTTAATCTAAAATATACTATAGAAGGTACTATATATATATATATATATATATATATATATGTATGTATATATATATATATATATATATATATATATATACATATATATATATATATGTTACTATTCAAATACGTATTGGAAAACATATTGCTAGCCGTATGCAAGAAGTATTTAATATGTCCTCATTCCTTGGTATATATATATATAAGCTCAAAAATGAGGCGGATTTTCAAGTTTGCAGTAACGTCATGATGCAAATCCTCTGTCACTCGTTACTAGAAACCATATTACCTACTGTAATTTGTTGATATCTTTTAGTATCTTAAATTAATTCACCAGCTATTATGACTTTGGTATTTACTATAATTTATCCTTTCCGTATTCCTTACCAGAATGCAAATTAGCTTTGAATGTCCTTAAGTATAGAGTTTGAATCATAGTGAGAGAGCCTTTGGCAATCGTGTCTCTCCGTATGCATTCCTCTCCAGCTGTGCTTCAAACTGATAATCTACATTAGAAGTTTCACTAGTCGATATTTTAAATACACGCCCGTGGAATGCTTAAGTCAGCTTATATCTTACTCTATTTTATATGTACTCTTAGACTACATTATCAACATTTGAATTTGAGTGTCTTTTATAGTTAATGTAACGAGCCACATGTGGGGGTTTCGTCTGTAGCACAAGTTGTGCTTTATCAACTTACGACTAAATCTGAATGAGAATTTCGAGCTCATATTGATGTTCTGTCTATATACGGAATATTTTCAAGACAGTTGAAAGGTTGTCCTCATAAAGCTCCGATATTATTCCACGCGATTTCTTATTGTAAGTATGTCAGTAAGTGCAACATAACTGCACGTGGCTAACGCAGTTTCTTCCAGAATAGTTTTCTGTCAAGCGCAAATTCGCATAAAATTATAAGAAACTTGTGTATCTGGAATTTCGATGAGATTATTTACAGTAGCATATGACTCGATAAAAGATACGAGGCCTTAGGCAGAGCGCTCATTCAAGGAAACCCACCTGCCAATTTGTTTTTTAATTTATTCTGAGTGAAAGCAGGATTATGCAAAGTTGGACGACGATTTGTATGGGACCCTCTGAAATCTAATGCCCTAGACTAGGGCGGTAATCATGTTCTAATAGTGTGCTTTCCGAACAGTGTCTTTCTACTCAATGTGCACTCTGAATGCTGTCATTATCATTCCAATCTTAAGCAAATGTTTCAGTTGAAGCTACTAAACGTTTTGACAGCATCATTCGTGGAGACTTTGAAAAATCCGAAACTTCTGGTTTCCACAACTTCTTCTAGGGTACGAAACCATTCGCGATAACGTGAACTTAAAATAATGCAAACGTTAAACATTTTTAAACTGCTTTGAGCCATTTCAAAGATCTTTCAAAGACATTTCAAAGATATAGATTTTGTGTCTTTAAATCAAGGGCAGCAGATATTGGCTACATAAAATCTGGTAAAAAATTCCATTTAAACATTTTTTTATAAGGGGATCATATTTTAAAGAAAGCAGATTAAGATACCTTAGAGAACTTTCCCACCAATTGTTACTTGCCTGGGATTGGTTCAAAAATTCAATCCTAAAACTTCGCAGACTAATTGTATAGGATGCGATAATTAACGTTAAACTTCCATTTTTACATCTTCTTCCACCGCGCAAAACTATACCCTGTTAACGAAAAACTTAAAATAATGCAAATTTTAAATTTTATTAAACTGTTTGCCCCATTTGAGACATTTCAAAAGTATACCTTTCGGTCCTTTAAAACCAGGGCAGCAGATATTGGCTACACAAATTCTGGTAAAAAATTCCGTTAAAAATTTTTTCTTTCGTAAATAGATGACATTCTAAAGAAAGCAGGTTGAGAAACCTTAGAGAACATTCTCGTCAGTTGTTATTTGGCTGGGAATGGTTGAAAAATATTCAGTCCTAAAACTTCGTAAACTCATTATACAGGATGCAGTATTTGTCATTACCCATTTTAAAAGTAGGACAGCTGTCCAATCTAGATAGCAGTTAGCGACGTTGATTGCTATAAAGAAAGGCCCAGGTTCAAATCTCTAAGGCATTGATGTGCGACATGGGCCATTCTAAATATGCGGCGAGCCGAAAGTCCTCTCAAGAGGTTTTTGGTAGGTGAAGAAGGAGACCCTCGGATCCGTCTTCCCGGGGTGCTCTCCGTCAAAACTGGGGGCGGAACTGAGTAAAGTCGTGCTGTCACCTGCACGATGTTCAAACCTCTTGCCAACGATATGCGCAATCTTGCACTCCTTACCACGATCAGTTTCGTAGGCTTGATTTGATGTTACTGTCAGACAAGTGAAATAGGTCACAAAGACAAAAACAAAAGTAGGACGGCATTTTGTTCGCAGTAATAAATACTAACATGAATGGTTAGGCAAACTGAACATGGTTAGATATTCTTGGGGATGTCAGGACATTCCTGCCATCTCCCAGATCCAGTTGCCATATTGCAAAGTATAGTCATAAGCCCAACCTCGTGACTAATTTTAACCGTGTTCAGCTGTATTTAGCGCTGTACGTAACTCTACATTAAAAATAAGTAACGTTAAATACCACCCTCTGTATATAGGCATATAAATTTACTTGGTAAAATACACGTGTAAACTGTGATGACGATAAAAATATATGTGAAGAACTCCTACGTTAAATTTTTCAAGTTCTTCTTGAGGGCCAATACCGGACAGCATCAGTAGCTGGGCAGAATTCACAGTTCCAGCCGAGAGAATGACCTCCTTGAAAGCCCTCACTTTGCGTTCCTTGCCTTCAAAATCGAATATCACACCTTGGGCTTGATGATTATGGATAATTATCTGAAAAATAATAGAACGGCAGTCATAATGAAAACAGCGGTCATAAAATAAGTTTTTTTTTTCAATTACATTTCCAAATTCAGAAATTAATGCAAAAAATAATATTTTTTATTTTTTTTATTTTATTTGTTTATTGATCGCAAATTATTGATATTTTTATTAATAACTTCTTTAAAATTGAAAATAAATTCCAGCTTTCTTGGATATCAATTCTGGGACAGATCTTAATGCTAAATCTTACTGTGTGGTATCCATCGTATAAAGCAGCTTTCCTTGCTCTCAGAAAAGAAAAATTAAGGATTTTACGGAAGGACTATGTTTCATGCATGATTTCTGCCGTGACAGACAGGAAGGGCTTTGTATAGGAACCTAGCTGGTATTTTCCTCATACAGAAATAAAACCATGAACCATTTTCCCTGAGTGAAATATGAAATATATTAAAGTAAGTAATACAGTAGAACATTGATTATCTGTCACTTTCAAGACTTTCTTCAAGACGGATAAAATAACAGGCGGATAATAGAAATTCCTCCAGCGGCCATCGCCACCAGGTTCAGGCTTTTTAGAACGAAGATTTACGTAGCCAATTACAGATAAAATTCAAGATTAGAACTGAAGTTTGACTAAGCAGCTGTTGTTTCTCATTCAGCTTCTCATTAGATCTTATAAGCTCTTAGTTTGCTTATAAAGCGCAGTAAAATTGCAAATGGGATTAATCCTAACTTTTCTCTAATCCGAGTTCGAATCCCAAGTTAAAAGTTTCTCAAATCTCTCGAATCCTTCATATAACAATAATAAGAAGAAAAAAATAACCTTTTACTTAGTATTAAGATTTTTTAATTAGAGCAAAAAATAAAATCTAGTTTTAATAAAAGAAAGTCACAAAACGGTTTTAAAAACTTCCTCTATATTTAAATTTTTAAATGAAGACTGTAAAGGAAATGTGTAATTAAGACCATTGAAGTTTTAGATTATTTTTACAAAAAATTTCGGTAAAAAAGAAATACAGTAAATAACAGTTCAAGATTTCACAATTTTCCCCATTTTTTATTAAATTCAAATCAAATGTATAGGAAGGATTCTTTTAAAGAGTTAATACAGATAACCACCGAACTGGGTATATCTAAATTATCTCCAGAAATTCAAGAAAAATCAAAAAAATTTTTCTTTAAAAAATTCATAAAAGTATACTTTTTTTATGGCATTCAGAGCATACATTAAATGACGCTGATGATCCGGTCACCACCAATAATTCATTAATAGTATTCTATTTTTAATGAACGCTTCTACTGAATTTGAACAAATCTAACTCTTTCTGTGTTCGAATATAACTAATGTTTCGTTTAGTTAGATTTCGAAAGATTAGAGTAGTGAGAAATGCGCTAAGATTCAAGTATTCGAATGTCAAGCATTTTTCAAGATTCATGTGATTCAAAGATTTGAATGTCACGCCTGTGCTAAAAACATATTCGAAATAGATCCAAAACAATATCTAGCCACAACTCGATAATTATTAAAGTTTCGGCGAAAGAGACTGAAATTGGTAGCTGCACCGGGTGGCAAATTTTTAAAATTTATAAAAGCAAAGAGAAGCAAAATTTAAGAGCTGCAGCGATCAATGGCGGCATAACACCTGGCATGAAGTACACCCCGAATATAAGAGCTGCAGATTCATGGAACCAAACAGATGTTACTTAATAAATCTTATGCCTTCCTGTAAGGCCGATAAATTTTATCGAGAAACATAAAGCATAACATTAGTCCTGACTATCAAATGTCTTTAACATGACTCACCATCACTGTTTCTTGTTTATTTTCTCTTCTTATTGTTGTAAATAGAAATTAATTTGTGATTACAGCCGAAAACATCGTGGAGAAAACAACGCAAGGCGAAAACGTCGTGGTACAAAACATCGAGGAAGAAAAGAAAGCAAAGAGAAAACGTCACAGTTCCTAAAACATCGTGGTACAAAATATCGTGCACGAATATAAAGCGGTTCAAAAACTTCGCAGTTTAAAATCATCGTCTTCGAAAATATCGTGGTAAAAAGTAATGTGCACTGCGCAAGAAAAAAGTGAAACAGTTATATATATATTCCGTTCTACTGGGCCGACTGAGGAAATTGAAACTGTTTTTCATGGTCTCGAAAGCGCGACTTAGGATATATATTAGATTTTTATATAGTATTGTACTAACATAGGTATTTTGATACAAAATCGGACTTTTTCTAAAGTTACGTACCATTTTTTTTTTTTCATATTATGCCTAAAAATTAAATTTTGTCAAATTTGGTGCGGAATTTACAGAGAAATACAAAAATTATCTTTGTGAATTTTTTTTCAGTTTGCGACAAGAGAGTTCACTTGGCGAACTTATTAATATATAGTAACCTATTTTCCTTTCCCTTCTATTCTGCAGGACGGAAAAAAAGTCACATCGTTCCTACTTTCAAATAATTTTTACAAAGTGCCTCAACACATTTGATGATATTATCGCTTTCAACAAATATGCCAAATTTCAAACGCCCCAATATATAAATTCACGTAGATCTTCGGAATTTGAATAAAAAAACTGTAATTTTTTGCCGGTATGCTTAGAAATACATCTACTTTAAGAGGATGGTAAAAGTTTTATAGATTCTAATTCAAAATTGTTTTCGAAAAATTATTTAACCGAACCAAAATTTCGAATTCTGGATGAACGAATCAAGTAAGTTTAATAAAAAAAAAAGATCTTAATAAATACATATCAGATTCAATTAACATCGAGGAGCTAAAATTTTGAGAGTTAATTTTTTTAAAAACTACTCGTGCGATTTTTACAGAACTCGGCAGTTTGGCGTATTTTGAGTCGTAGAATTGAAATGTGGAAGAAAATTGGCATATCATTTCAGAAAAAGTCCGATTTTGGGTCAAAATACATATATTAGGACAATGCTGTATATAAATCTAATACATATCCTGAGTCGCACTTTCGAGACATGAAAAATGCAATTTGAATTTCGTCAATTGACCCAGTAGAACGGGAGATATAGAATCGGCGTATAAGCACACACGATCGTCAGTGGACCCGAAAACCTGATTCGTCGGACCTTGCAACTTTCTTCCATTCTTCTAACGTCCAATTCCGATGTTTTCTGTTCCATTGCAGACGCAGCTGGCGATGACGTACCGTCAGTGCAGGGACACGCTTCGGCCTCCGGCTGCGTAAGCCAATACGCAACAATGTACGCTGGGCAATGTGTTGAGAAACACTGTGTCGATCGCCACTGTTGTAGCTGGTCGGCAATTGAAACTCTTCGGTCACGGTGAACAAATGAGTAGCAATCTCCGCTCTCCTCTGGAATCAATGCGCCGTCGACGACACACAACTGGCCGGCGACTTGTCGTTTCACCATCCATACACCACTTTTGATATATGCTAACAACAACTACACTTGAGTAGCCCACTAAACGCGTCGTTTTTGATATTAATGTTCCCAGTCGCCGAACCATAACGATTTGATCTCCATCGAAGCCTGATAAATCAGCTGCTTTTCTCATTATGTCGTTAATGTTTGGAAAGATACTTTGATACTATTATTATTATTCTGGCATGCAGTAGGGAATTCCTATCCCTGCTCTTTCCAGATTCCTGAGTGAATCCCGAATTGGGCCCGACTTCTGAGGAAGTCCATAAATAGTATTCTCCAGATGAGGTATAAGCTGAGGTGAAAAAACTTTGAAGCCCATTGCTTCCTGCGAGAAAAATGCCAAGACTGGATGGAGCTGTGGTCAGGCACTGCACAATCCATAGCTGCTTTATATACTCCAACATCAACCGCGCATGCAGAGTGGTCTTGTTTCTGGGCGATCCCACTGTTAAAAATGGAGGGCGGTCATAATATAATGGCTTTTCGGTGTATATTATTAATAGAACGCATATTAATCTTGGAAGACAGCAGATAATTAAAGAAAGACGCTGGACGAAATAATAACGCCTTACGCTGTGTCATTACTTCATACAAAATTTTATGTGTTATGAGGTATTTCTCCCGCCTTCCTAGCGTGCCTTCGTGGTGTAGTAGTTCAGCACGCTGAGACGGTATTCCAGAGGTCTGTAGTTCGATTCCCGTCGAAGGCGATTGCTCATCTTTCATCTTGCCTGCTTCCAAAAAATTACCAAATGTCTCTACAGTGTACCCCATTAGATATCAATGGCATTGACATTAATATTGTATTCAAACAGTGTATGAATCTGAAGAGCATAACATTATTCTGACATTATATAGTCCATTCCTATCATATCTCCTCTTCAGTATGGATACTGGATGGAAAGGTTAAAACGGAAACCCTGTTACATAATTTATAATAAAAGACGTAAATGAAACAATTTCCAAAAATACTGAGAAATCTAGGAAAATCTGAAGTGGGACATAATTCAAGTTTTCTACAAACATTTTAGGGATTAATATGTTCTGTAAAATATAAAAGGCTTTCATGACTAAATTTAATTAGAAAACACTGGTGTTAAGTTGTAGCGTTGCGCGCCTCCAACTTGCACGCAACCAAGAGGTAACTGTTGAAACTGGGTAAAAGACAGAGTCTTGTTAAGGGTTTAAGTCCCTTTTCATTCAACGTAATAAATTACAAGTGCGTGCTCTTGAAGCTCACAAACTACGCCAACTCGGCGGTCAAATAAAAATAATAACCTGAAAAGAAACTAAAGACAAGACTCTAACTACGAGGCTCTCTAAAAGTAACTAACCTCACCGCGTTTTTACAATACCGCTGCTAATTCAGCAAACTTGAAGATCACTTGAACGATTAACAATACTTCCAGGCAAGCACACAGGCCGAAACGCGGGGTTCTTCAATTTCTGGCTAACTACCTCCGCGCTCGTGAAGTAAGAACAGCACACCTCGAACTCGTTTCCTTTCTATTTAACTCAGAATACTTCCGCTGATGGTTTGCATCCTTGCGCGTTCTACTAAAATTTACATACTCTGGCATTGGCAG